TTTGGTCTTTCATTTCCACAATTCTAATTGGATTTGGTTGAAGGTGCTATGGCTATTTATCTTCCTTCTTTTGCCTATAAAATAGAGTTGTTTTGGGATGGAAAAGGTTGTTGAAATGCTGAGTAAAAACTCTACAAAAACCTTAGGGTTTCTCCTTGGAAAAGCTTGAGAGGTTGTTCCACTCCCCCTTTCCTCCTCTCTAATTCGTCTTGGCTTCTAATATCTTCTTCTCTACGCAAGTTCCACTCCACCTGTATCCTTCTTCTTGAGCTTTGGAAGTTGTTTGTTGGCTGAAATTTGGAGACATTTGCCAGAGGAGTTTGGTTGGACGTTGGACTCTTTTGCTGTGGTGGACTCTCGGTTTGCAAGCCTAAGCACAATTTTATTATATGTTCCTACTCTCGTTGCATGTGAGGAAACCGCTAAACGGTTATAATGAGGATAGCGTTTTTATGATTTTTTTTTTTCGTTTGATTTGGCTTTTATTTTTTTGAACGTTTGTTTGGTTGTTTGCAAGCTATAATTGAATCGAGTTTGGTTTATACTTTGTCCTGGTGTTCTCCAACTTGTCTCTTCTCTAGTTTGCTTGCATCAGGCTTGGTATCAGAGCGAGTTAGGATATCCTTGGTTTTTGTGTTTCTTTTTTTCTTTTAAGTTCTAAAATGGCTAATAATCCGGGGAATGGCAAAATGTAATGCAACAATTAGTGGATTTGCAAAATGAAATGGCTAATACCCTTGCTAATCTTAATGTTAATCAACAACATGTTCAAACATCTGAAAGCAAAGAAGTCTGTAGGAATCAAAAATAGGCGATAACAAAATTGAGATTTTGGGATTAAAATTGATGTTCACAACTTTGAGGGTAAATTGCAACCTGATCTATTTCTCGAATGGCTTGAGAAAATGGATCAATTTTTCGATTGGAAGGAAATTTTTGAAAACAGAAAGGTGAAATTTGCGAGTTTAAAATTAAATGGTCATGCTCTTACGTGGTGGAAAAATTTATAAAACAATAGACTTAGGCGTGGGAAAGAAAAGATACAAAACTGGGAACTGATGAAAGAAAAAATGAGGGGAAAATTTATACCGTTTGATCACACACGAACTCTATTTCATGAATTCAATAATTTGCGACAAGGAACTCAAACTGTGGAAGAATACACTGAACTGTTTTACAAACTTCAATCAAGAAATGATTTAGATGAATCTGAAGAGAAAATTGTTTCAAGATATATTAACGGTCTTAAGTGGACAATTCATGATCAATTGAACTTGCATTATGTAATAAAAGTTGACGAGGCATATCGAATGGCATTAAAACTTGAAAAATAACATCAAATAGAAAGAGGTCATAACAAGATAACGGAAACTTATAAGCGGCGACCAATTGGCGAGGTTAAGATTCAATCTCAAACTTCTGTGGGAACATCGGGTACTAAAGCTAAATCTTTTGAAAATCAAAATGCGAATAAAGGAAAGGGAATTATGAGATTTAAACCATCTGAACAACCCAGATTAATTGGACCATGCTACAAATGTGGGCTTTATGGTCATCTTTCTGCAGCCTGTAGAAAAAACAACCCACCAAAAACTAATTTCATTGAAAATGATGAAGTAGAGGAAGAGAAAGAAAATAATTCTGAAACTTAAAATGACATTGAATTAGAATAAATAGATGTTGTGGGAGATGAAGGAGAAGAACTTTTAGTAATCCGACAAGTCTTAATAACAAAAACTGACAACGGGGACAGGTGGCTTAGAAGAAATATTTTCAAAATAACTTGTACAGTTGAAGGGAGAATCTGCACTCTTATGATATATATTGGAAGTTCAGGAATTTTGTATCACAACTGATGGTTGATAAGTTGAAATTAAAGTCCAAACCACTTGCCAAATCTTATAAAATCTCTTGGTTTAAGGAGGGAGGTGAGGTTCCTATCACAAAGCAATGTGTTGTCAATTTAACAATTGGGGAGGGGGTCTTTTAAAGATCATGTTACTTGTGATGTTGTACCTCTTAAAGTTTGTCACATTCTGTTGGGTCGACCTTGGCAATTTGATAACAAAACTATTCACAACGAGGAAAAGAACGCTTACTCTGTGATTCAAAATAATAAGGAATTCATTCTCTATCCTCAAAAACATGTGCCTGATTCGCCTGCTAAAAATAACAAAGTTGCTGATGTTTTAAGCAGGAGATCTCATTTGTTGGTAACTGTTTACCCAACTATTACTTCTTTTGATTTTTTGAAAGATATCTATACAAAAGACCCTAATTTAAAGAACATTTGGGATTCTTGTCTTGCTTCTGGAACTGATCCTACTGTTCAGTTTGTTATTCATCAAGGGTTTTTGTTTAAGGGATCTAGACTTTGCATAATAAAATATTCTTTAAGAGAACAACTTGTGCATGAACTTCATAGTGGGGGATTGAGTGGACATTTTGGGCAAGAAAAACTGTTGCTTTAGTAGAGGAAAAATATTTCTGGCCTCATATAAGAAAACAAATTGCTAAGCTGGTGACACAATGCAAAATTTTTTATGCTTTTAAAGGAACTTTTTAAAATACTGGTTTGTATACTCCTCTTCTAATTCCAAATAAACCTTGGGAGGATATCTCTATGAATTTTGTTTTGGGATTGCCTGTTACTTTTAGAAAGTTTGATTCTATTTTTATGGTGGTAGATCGCTTTAGCAAATTGACACATTTTATTCCTTGCAAGAAAACTTCTGATGCCTCATATATTGTTGATTTGTTCTTTAAAGAAATTGTTCGTCTTCATGGTGTTTCTCGCACTTTTACTTCTGATAAAGATACTAGATTTTTGAGTCATTTTTGGAGAACACTTTGGGCTAAATTAGGAACTACTCTTCAATTTAGCAGTACATATCATCCACAAACCGACGGACAAGATGAAGTTGTGAATCGAAGTTTGGGAAACTTATTAAGATGCATGGCATGTGAGAAACCATCCCAATGGGATTTGATATTGCCCCAAGCTTAATTTGCTTACAATAATTCTATTAATCGCTCCACAGGTAAAACTCCATTTGAAATCATTTATGGTCAGCCTATACCTCACATTTTAGATATAAATTATTTGTCTTTTCCAAATAAAATTAGTGTTGAAACTTCTGAAACCTTTGACCATATCAAAACTGTCCAACAGCAAGTTCTTGAAAACTCCGAATAGCTAATGTTAAATACAAAACTGATGCTTATAAACATCGTAGAAAAGTTTATTTCAAAGAAGGAGATTTGGTTATGGCTTACTTTCGTCGCCAACGATTTCCTGTTAGTACTTTTGGGAAATTAAGCAGGAAGAAATTTGGTCATTTTCGTGTTCTAAAAAAATTTGGCTCAAATGCTTATCTATTGGATCTTCCTTCTACTGTTAGCACTTCTCATGTGTTTAATGTTTCTGACCTTTCTTTATATGATGGAAATTCTGAAGATCATGTGGAAATTGAAACATTACCACTCTCCACATCTGTTTTGAGTTATGATGAATAGGTCGAAGATGTTATTGATGTCAAGACTACTAAAACTCGGCATGGTGAACACATGAGGTTCTTGGCAAAATGGAAAAATCATCCTTTGACATATTGTACTTGAATGGATGCAAAAGAGCTTCAAAAGCGTCATCCGGAGCTTTATAAAAGAGTTGTGGAAGCTTTCTCATCAGGAGATGAGATTTTCCCACCATGGGGGAATTGATGCATTCATGTTTTTAGTTTATTTTTGTTTTAATGTATTTTGAATAATATTAGTTGTGTTTAATATTTTTTAAGCTATCCTATGATGGTTGGACATCCAATGATCATGGTAGAAAAGTGCTTGGGCATGACAAGCCTTTGGTTTGCTTGCTTTTGGGTCCATTGTGTCCTTGGGCTGCTTGTTGTTATCGGTTTGGAGCTATTTTCTGCTCTCGGGTTGGGCCTTGGCTGCTTGGTGATGAGTTTAAAAATCTGGATTCCACTGGTGTTAGCTCATAAATGTTTGAGCTGAAGTTTAGCTCAATGATTGGGGGAGTAAATGCACTTTCTAGCTCATTAAATCAAAAAGGTATGCTATTATTTCAAGCTCATTATTGTGGAGTGGACTTGTGTCTGTTCCCTTCCCTTTGTCTTTTCGGTTTCTGTTGGCTGTTGCTGTTTCCGTGGTCCTCCCTCTCGGTTTTTCCCTCCTGGCTGTTTTTCCCATGAAATACTGATCTGTTTCCTGTGCTGGCTGTCCCTTGCTGGCTGGGCTTCCCGTGGCTGCTGGTGGGATTTTTCGTGGTTTGCTTCCCTGTTTCTGTATAGAAATTCTGTTAGCTGTTATGAGTCTTTTGGCCTTTCATTTCCCCAATTCTAAATGGATTTGGTTGGAGGTACTATGGCTGTTTATCTTCCTTCTTTTGCCTATAAAATAGAGTTATTTTGGGATGGAAAAGGTTGTTGAAAAGCTGAGTAAAAACTCTACAAAAACCTAAGGGTTTATCCTTGGAAAAGCTTGAGAGCTTGTTCCACTCCCCCTTTCCTCTCTAATTCGTCTTGGCTTCTAATCTCTTCTTCTCTACTCCACTCCACCTGTATCCTTCTTCTTGAGCTTTGAAAGTTGTTTGTTGGCTGAAATTTTGAGACATTTGCCGGAGGAGTTTGGTTGGACGTTGGACTCTTTTGCAGTGGTGGACCCTCGGTTTGCAAGCCTAAACACAATTTTATTATATGTTCCTACTCTCGTTGCATGTGAGGAAACCACTAGACGGTTATACTGAGGATAGCGTTTTTATGATTTTATTTTGTTTCGTTTGATTTGGCTTATGTTTCTTCGAACATTTGTTTGATTTTTTGCAAGCTTTAATTGAATTGAGTTTGGTTTATACTTTGTCCTGGTGTTCTCCAACTTGTCTCTTCTCTAGTTTGCTTGCATCAGCAACCTATGGGGATGTTTTTTTATAGAATTCTCTTGATTGTTTATTACAAAAGCTGATGTCTTTTGATGCTACAAGGCAGATCTCGTTCAATCTCGGATCCCACAATCATACAAATGCTTTTTGAAATCTCTAAAGCCCTTCATGACAGCATTGATATATTAAATGAAGATTATCAGCAAATGTCGCAACTCATCTGTTATTTTGTTCGAATGGTATGTCAAGTTTCTCCATGTACTTAGAAAAAAAAAATCTCTTGTTTGTAGTTCTGAGTGACAACTAATAATATGGCCCTTTCAGGTTGGTTTTGGAGATGATAGGGAACGGCATTTGACTTTCTTAGCTACATGTCGTGCAGCTTTCAGTAACTTTGATATTGTTATGGTTAGTGAATCACATGCTTGAATCTTGGTTTCATTTTATATTTACTTGATTCCGTTGCAACAGCCTCGCAAATTTCATGTTAATCATGTGATGAAACCTGTGGAATAGATCCGTTTATGTATGATTTTAAACAATCAGCTGATGTTTTGGTTGTTGTGCTGTGAATTGCCATTCAAACATTTTGATCATTGATCCTCAACTCTTATGCATTTTTTCAAATACTACTTTAAGCTACAATCTTGTTGCTAAAATGTACACATGGTTAGCAAAAATGAGAATTTTCCAGCCTTTTATTTTGTGGTAAATGCACATTTAATCTTGCTCTAAGCATGCGACTTGCTCTGCAGTAGTAGGAATTTCTAAATGTCCACAATATTACCAAACTGTAATTTAAGGGATAATGAAAGCTTGAGGTAGAACTAATTTTTTTCGTATTTCCATTTATATTCTGATTCTTACCAATATCTTTGCACATGAAGATATTTTAAATCCCCTAAGGACGCTGATAGTTGAAATGATTTAAACACAAATTTGTCTAATTGACAGTGGATCTTGTATTTGTATATTGTCATCATGAATGAATATTGATTGAGTTTTTTTTTTTATTATTATTTTTGACCTAATTTTTTCTTCAACATTCTCGTTTACAGGACACTCTTGTTCTTTTGAGTAATAATCTTGCAAGTGGAGCAATTAAGGGGACAAGCAAGCTTTCAAACTTTGTCAAAGCTTGTGTTGCTTTTAGTGAAGCCACAATTCCATCCATTCCTAACCAAATAAGATGTATGAAATTGTTTATTGCAACGGCAGAGGTATATTATTCCCATGATTTGTATTTCCAAAACTTTTTTTTTTGCTGATAAATTCATGGACTGTCGTTATTTCTTTTTATATTTTTAGGTTGCATTATTTGCTGGCCTTTTTTCTCATACTAAAGGACTTCTTAATTCAGCCATTGATTGTTTGCTATGTTTAGACTTGCCAGGTTAGAGACTGCCCTTACACATGCTATAAATAGTTTTAAAATTTTTGCCATATCATAACGCTTCTTTTGAATTAGGTAATGCCTAGTGTTTATAATGTGCGAAGCACATACGATAAACAAGTTTTCTGTTTTTTCTTGAATGCACAAGGTGCAGGCGATGTGGCAATTTTTCTTAACAAACTATTCATGACATGTATAGCCTATATATATTACGTGCATGCAATAATCATTTATTAGCCATATATAAACTACATCAAGTACTGATTTTCAACAATTATAATGACGCATTCATTTATAGTAATTTTTCGACCATTTAAAAGGCAAAAAACAAAAAGAATAGAATGTATAAAGAATGAAGTGATGAAAAGATTTTCTTAAAATGAAAAAATATAAATATGTGATTGAGAGAAACTAAAGATCAAGAGGCAAAGATTGTGTGAACTGAGACTGTGAAGATGAGGTGCTAAGAAACATGCGTAGAATTGACTGGGAAGCATTTTCAAGAAGAAGCTTTGTGTCCGAGAAGCTTTTAGTGTCAGCAACAAGAACCAATAAGAAATATATATAAAAATTAATAGGGGAGTTGATATAAAAAGGATAATCACCAATAAGTGACGAGCTCCCGTGAAGAGAACATAGAATGATATTACAATAACTTTATAATAACGAGAATCAACCAGGACAATTGAAAGTTTGTGTTCTAGTTATTCTAACAGATGGTGAACCAAACTATAAAATATGTACTTGGTTTTCATTTTGAGCCTAGAGCCAAGCATACAATGCTATGATGTGATGCATGTGGTTTGCTACAATTTTGCATTTCATGAGAAAATGATACATAGGACTAGTGTGTCACTTCACTTTGGACCTAATGTGCATTTTTTATAAAAATCGTAAACCATCACTCGATACTTATCAAATGTCTTCTTGTGGTATGGAATATTTTCTCGATGTGATCCTCCTATTCAAAATTTTATGTTATATGGCAAGAATTCAATTAAGTTTTGCATTGTATTCTTATATGTAATTGTGATTTAAAATCACATATATCTTAACCTTAATTGATTGAAATACAACAACAACAGCAACAAGCCTTAATTTATCTCACTAACCTTAATTGATTGAAATGTTAACAAAAAATATCACGCATCTTGATGTAACAACACCGCCCTTGCTCTTGCTCCGTTTTCCTTGATGTTTGGCAATAATTCTTTATGCAATTGTGTTTACTTTTTGCTTGCAACCATTGAGTGCAATTTAAGCTTTGTCGAGTTACTTGATCTCAAATATTGCCTTGAGACTTTTCATGAGTGATTTGTTAGGCCAGTTCCTCGTGAACCGGCCCCAGCTCCTGAACTGGCCCACTCAAGGCCGATTGTAGGCTCCGAAAATTCGGCCCCAGCCTGCACTTGCTACTATTTGCTTTTCTTTGGCGAGGGAGTTTTAACGGAATTAAGTTCCGGGGTAAATTTTAGGAAGGCAGATGGGTTTGTAGATAAGACACTACCCAGAGATTTCGCCCTCATTTTGCGAGGACTTTATGTTCTGAGTTCTAGTTTCCTATAGGCGCAAGCCCCTATAGTTAATTACCCCTCCCGATCACGAGAGAGAACTTTCGATTAAGGCAAGTCATCAATCAAATACATAGAGATACGTGTTATCTGGCATACAGTAGCAGCATTGGGCTTAGGATTTGGACATTTTAGAAATGATTGAGAATTTGAAGATTTGATATTTAAGATTAGAAAATTCACCATCTTGCACTTAAAGCGGATGGTGGGGGAATGGATGATGGACCCGATCATGATCCCATGGTTCCGTTGTCCCGGGCTATCGTGGTCCCTGGTCTACTTAGTCAGAGGAGGTAGTCGACCCAACCTGACAGAAGGATCCTTGTCAACAGCCATGGGTTGTTTTGTTCAAGGGGATCTTGTAGACCTTGGGTAAATATTTGTCTAAGGGGACAAATTTGAATCCACCTTAGTTAACAGAGGGCTTTGTGCCCTATCGATCATATCCTATTGATTCATATCTCAAGGATTTGTTGCCACTAAGGAGCGTACTGGCTCTGGCCATAATTGGTATTTTGTGGTGCCATTTGGCGGCAAAACCACCCAATTCAGAGGGCCCCGGGTTATAACCATTTATCCTCCAGTGCCATTTGGCGGCAAAACGCCGGTTAGAGAACACGTACCACATCCTTAACGGCACGAGATTTTTTGAGAATGAATCCTAGTGATATTTTCGACTAGGCATTAGCTCTATGCGAGCTGAAGTTATATTCAAATTTGTTCACCTCGGCAAACTGTTGCGGAAGGTGGATGGGTTTTTGCTTTAAGTGATTGGATAGTTTAATTTCAATTTTAAAAATTTTGGATTTTAAATTTTTGGATTTTTTAGTAGTAGAGTGGCATTTGAAAAAATTTGTGAAATAACCCCTTCGGTTGAGATATACATTCAACGCGGCCATCATCGGGGTGCTTGGGGTCATTTTCATTTGTTGATTAAGCCTTGTCGACCCTATCAACTTACTGATAGGGGATCGGGTTTTGGCTTTGTGCCTTTATTAGTGAATTATCATAATTATAGGTCTTGAATGCCTAATATGATTGTATTAAAACAAATATACCGATCGTCGCAACCGTATATTGGTTTAATGGTTTGAACCCTGTCAACTTCTATTGATTCGTATAAAAGGATCGGGTTCGAACTTGAATTCACTTATCGACCCGTGCAACATCCCTAGACGCCACGTGTATACTTATGACACACTCGCCGAGGCCCATGCGAGTGTTTGGGGGCATTTAATAATTATTTTTTGAACCTTGTCGACTCTTATTTACCCACTTAGGAGGATTGGGTTCAAATTTATTGACCCGCACAACATCCGTAGACGTCGTATGTGTTTCCACAACATGCTTGCCGGGGCCCATGCGGGCTCTTGATCGTATTTTCCCCTTTAATGTACCTATGTGTATACAAATTACGGTGCATGTGCAGGGTACTTCGAAATATTTTAGTTGTGCATGTATTTTTCATTTGAATGCACACAACATCTCATTTGAGAGCTTATATACGCCTTCTGTTCGCTAATACGAATGTTATGGATTCGGTGGCGGTATTATCTGGATGTCATGAGGCAGCTCATCATCTTGATGTTAACTCCTATTTTTCTCATTCACCGGCGATGTCTTTCTTGAAATTTGTGACCACTTGCTTAAGAAGAATCTCTTTCAGGATCTTTTGTGTAGTAGACTTATTATTTCCGGTGTCTGTGGATACTAGGACTGTTTTCTTCTTAAGTATAGGACTAAGAAGAGACTTTTGAACACCATGAAGTTTAGTTCTAATTTGTTCAAACATCTCTTCCGTTCTGCCAGGAGGTGTCCTTTTTTGTACATTGAATTGTCTTCTTACTTGACATACTTTGCAGCATCTCAATCATCGCTGTTATAGGCGACATCTGCACTTGTGTCCACAGTGGTTCGTTGCACTTACGATATATCCATTGTTGTTATCTACAAGTGACTCGTGTGTATTTACGGGGACCCGCTGTATTCAATACGACTTTTTGGAAGTGTTCTTCGGAGAGTCATTGTTTCTGCATTATATCCACCTTTCACCAATCTCAGGTGGTTTGGTGATCGTGCTTATTTATAAGGACGAATCATATTTGGTATGATCTTTTGAAAATGTTCGTAGGAGAGTCATTTGCATCAAAACTATATCTACCTTTCACCAATCTCAGGTGGTTTGGCATACTTGCTTGCAAGGACGGATCTTCAACTATCAATTGACAATATTGCCATCTCAATCTGCAGGTACTTGTAGGGATTGTCGTAGGGGTCTATTACATCCGCATCATGCCAACCTTTGTTGTTCACAATTTATTTGCAACGATGGGTCCACTATTGATCTCCAGTGTCACCTTCTTCAATCAACAGGCGTTGTTGCTTGTGTTGGAGATTCCAATATTGCATATAGGACACACATATGCATTCTGCAACTTTTTGTTGTTCTTGTAGGTACTACGCACCTAATCTTGTAGAGACTGTTGTAAGAGTCCACTACATTCTTTATTTGCATGCATTGAGGTCTCGTAGTGTGCCTTAGTCACATTTGTTTACAAAGATCGATGTATTTCATCTGACATTGAGTCACTATTGGCCATACAAATGTTCTTGTAGTTCGAGTTCCTTTGTAAATGATTCAAGCTTTGAGTTCTTTGTATATGTTTGAGTTCAATTGCGAGTTTCAGTCCAGTTCATACTTGGATTCCTTATGGTCTTTTTGATTTCAGACTCTATTCAAGTTCAAGTCTTTGATTCAGTTCAACATCATTTGTCCAAACTTGATTTGAGTTAAAATGTCCAGGATCATTTTCTTTTTCAAGTCATTCATTTTTTTATATATTTGAGTTTGAATTCATTTAGATTTGAGTTTATTGTATCAAAGTCCACAAGTCTGAGTCTATTGTTGTTCTTTTGAGTCCAAGTTCTTGTTCTTTTTTTAGTTCAAATCAGGCACGAGTACAGTCACATTTTCACCCGAAATTTCGGCAGCCTCCCGGCGTCTCCCCCATTTAGGGGAAAACTACAGAAAAATGGGCCTCCCGCCATGCTAGAGAAAAACGTGTACGGTAAGTGCCCTCGTACGAGGACACCGCGACCGTGAAATCTTTGTCCCCACCACGCCAGAGAAAGGCATGTATGGGTCTTCAGTACCTGTTACAAGAGAAAAATAGTCGTTTCCCCGCATGTACAGAGCCGCGTACGGGTACTTAAAAGTTGTTCCGGCCACGCTAAGAATTTCGTGCACCAGGCCTGCCCGCCTTGTCGTAGGTGTCGCATGGGTTCCCTTCCCACCATGCTAGAGAAAAGCGTGTATGAGCAGTTTGCGGGCTCGACACAAACGCCAAGAACAAAATTTTTGGGCCAAGGGATCGCTCACCTACCTCGTCGTATGTGTCGTGTCGGGTTCCCTCCCCACCACGCTAGAGA